GACTACTGTGTTGGGTATAATAAATTATGTATTAAAGCAAAAATTTTCAGGAAGGTTCAGCCACCACAATTAGGACCAGATTTTCAAAAGAGCCCCAAACCCAACATCTGGCTATAATTGTCACAATGGGATCTTCTGAGTGCTGAATATTTTTGAAAATATGGCTCCAACTGCGGATGCTCAGCCAATGAAAATCTGGCAGTGCGTCCTTTTGAATAACCTGGGCCTATGTACCCTAAGTAGTTATCAAAATGATTGTATGTGTAATATAGGCAATTTATTGGTATTATGAGAACTATGCATTTCCTATGTTTAAATATACAATGCCTAAATACTTAACTACCTTAACAGATATATATATAAAAAAATTTATCCAAGGACTAAAATGCAAAGTGCCTAAGTGACTAAGCCCCAGATATTTAAAGATATTTAGGCATCTAAGAATGCCAATAGGTGCCTAATAGGATTTATTGACATGTTTAAGTAGGTTAGGCGCCTAAATTTCATTGTCATCAAAAAGATTTGAGTGCCTAACATGCTTAGGAACTCTTGAAATCCCACTAGGTGCATAGGTGCATCTTTAGATGTCTAAATACCTTTGAAAATCTGGCTCTTAGTTGCACGGACTTTCCAGTGTATCCGGGGATGCTTGACCCCTGGTTTTGCCTCAGACCCTGCCCCTGCTTCTGTACCCAATGACTGGAAGATAGCTAATGTAACGCCAATATTTAAAAAGGGCTCTAGAGGTGATCCTGGCAATTACAGACCGATAAGTCTAACGTCAGTACCGGGCAAATTAGTTGAAACAATAGTAAAGAATAAAATTGTCAAACACATAGAAGAACATAACTTGTTGGGCAAAAGTCAACATGGTTTCTGTGAAGGGAAATCATGTCTTACTAATCTATTAGAGTTCTTTGATGGGGTCAATTAACATGTGGACAAGGGGGATCCAGTGGACATAGTGTACTTAGATTTCCAGAAAGCCTTTGACAAGGTCCCTCACCAAAGGCTCTTAAGTAAATTAGGTTGTCTTGGGATAAGAGGGAAGATCCTTTCATGGATTGAGAACTGGTTAAAAGACAGGGAACAAAGGGTAGGAATAAATGGTAAATTTTCAGAATGGAGAGGAGTAACTAGTGGTGTTCTCCAAGGGTCAGTCTAGGACCAATCCTATTCAACTTATTCGTAAATGATCTGGAGAAAGGGGTAAACAGTGAGGTGGCAAAGTTTGCAGATGATACTAAACTGCTCAAAATAGTTAAGACCAAAGCAGACTGTGAAGAACTTCAAAAAGATCTCACAAAACTAAGTGATTGGGCAACAAAATGGCAAATGAAATTTAATGTGGGTAAATGTAAAGTAATGCACACTGGAAAAAATAACCCCAACTATACATACAATATGATGGGGGCTACTTTAGCTACAACTAATCAGGAAAGAGATCTTGGAGTCATCGTGGATAGTTCTCTGAAGACGTCCACGCAGTGTGCAGTGGCAGTCAAAAAAGCAAATGGGATGTTAGGAATCATTAAAAAAGGGATAGAGAATAAGACAGAGAATATCTTATTGCCCTTATATAAATCCATGGTACGCCCACATCTTGAATATTGCGTACAGATGTGGTCTCCTCATCTCAAAAAAGATATACTGGCATTAGAAAAAGTTCAGAAAAGGGCAACTAAAATGATTAAGGGTTTGGAACGGGTCCCATATGAGGAGAGATTAAAGAGGCTAGGACTTTTCAGCTTGGAAAAGAGGAGACTAAGGAGGAATATAATGGAGGTATATAAAATCATGAATGGTGTGGAGAAAGTTAATAAGGAAAAGTTATTTACTTGTTCCCATAGTATAAGAACGATGGGCCACCAAATGAAATTAATGGGCAGCAGGTTTAAAACAAATAAAAGGAAGTTCTTCTTCACATAGCACACAGTCAACTGTGGAACTACTTGCTTGAGGAGGTTGTGAAGGCTAGGACTATAACAGGGTTTAAAAGAGAACTAGATAAATTCATGGAGGTTAAGTCCATTAATGGCTATTAGCTAGGATGGGTAAGGAATAGTGTCCCTAGTCTCTGTTTGTCAGAGGGTAGAGATGGATGGCAGGAGAGAGAGCACTTGATCATTACCTGTTAGGTTCACTCCCTCTGGGGCACCTGGCATTGGCCACTGTCAGTAGACAGGATACTGGGTGAATGGACCTTTGGTCTGACCCAGTATGGCCGTTCTTATGTTCTTATGTTCTCCTACGCCTTTTCCCGCCTCTGCCCCCACCCAGCCTCTTCCTGCCCCCGCTCCACCTCCACCCCACCTCTTCCCGCCCCGTTCCGCCTCCTCCTCTGAGCGCGCGCCACACCCTCACTCCTCCCCCAAATGGCACACCATAAAATATAAATATGTATATATAACGTGGGTGGGTGGGTGGATGGGTGTGTACACCACATGTGTGGAGGCATTACCGATGGGATCCATAGCAGAACCACATGATAAATTGCAAAGCCGTAAGGTAAATATTTTTTGTTAACATTGGTGCACTTCGATTGGTCTCTGCCTGCTAATTCTCTTTCAGGTACATATTGTAACATTCTGAACCTCTGATCAACTTCAAACATACACCTCTTTTATTTGAAAGAATTTGACCTGCCCTTGAAATGCTTCCTCCTTTGCTCCCCAAATATGGTATTTCTTTGCAGATGTACACCTGTCTGAGGCCCAGGACAGGGGAAATTCCACATTTAAGAAAGTAGGGAATGATTCCCAGGCAGTTTAATTTAATTATAGGCAACACAGGTAATGATGCCTGTAGTTAAAATTGTTTATAACTTGCTATTCTAACACACTGTTTTCAGTTGTTTATAACTTTACCACACTGAAACGTGAAACCATTTATATAAAGAGCTGGCTGAAAAATAAAAATAGTTCACAAAACTTTCAAGAACTTCCAAGATGGTTTCATTCCTTTGCTTTTTGAAACAGGTTGATTTTCATTTTGTGAAATTTTCTACTGAAATTTCTTAAGGCAACATGTATCAATTTACAAATAGAAATTTTTTTATTTTTAAACATTCTACTGTGGGACTAAACTGACCAAATCAAAACTGACAATGAAGAAGAAAACCCCTTGCATGAAATAAAAAACTCAAGATCAAACCTAGAGAACAGTAAATGAAAGTGGATACAAAAAACCTGATAAGTGAAAACTTTTGAGATAAAAAATGTTTGCTAAAATTTCTGCAAACTGGGGAAATATTGTGAAAATATTTTTAATCACATCCATCTGAAGCTGCTCAGACGTTTGGAATATTAGAATAAGTCATGTCGGGAGATGAATTACTGGGTAAATCAACTGAGCTAGACAACAATGCATTTATCAGATGGCTCCATAACTTAGCACATTATCTTCATATATATATATTTTAAAAAATCAATTGACATGATAGAAAACTGAAATAAAGTAAATCTAGAACCAGGGTTTACATGATAAACAAAAGGTTCGGAAGAATACCTTAGTTGGGTCCGTTTCTCTTCTGCCCTTCCATCTTGTGTTGTCTTTTATACCTGTGCAAAGTGGTTGTGAAATGCTACCAGATGGCAGCATTTTGCACTCCCTTTGGCCGGGTATAAATGGTGACTCAAAATGCAAAGCAGGGAAGAATGAGGCTCTGAGGTAAGGAAATGGCAAAATACTCAAAAATGGAGCATAAAAGAGGAACCTGCTTTAGATGAGACTATTACTGTAGTCCATGAGGGTTAGTGCTAATCCCCCAAAGTTCAGTACAATCGCAGAGAAACACTTGTCTTTCTCTACCACAAAACTGGTTACTGTGGAAATTGGAGCATAATAACATTCACATCCACAAATTAGGAATGATCATGTTTTGTGTATGGTGGCCTCTGCTTTATATGCAACGATGTATATACAGGGTCTGAATGTTCATGCAGGCAAGACTGCTGTTGATGCATATAGGTGTTTTCCTGTATAAGGCTAAACCATCAACACCCGTTGGGTGTGATAATATACAGAAACTCTCAGCTATTTTGAATATTTTCAGTTTAACTGCATTGTTGGGCTATTAAGTAAACTGTATTTCTCTCAGCAATATCTCTCCAACATAAATTGCTTTCTTATTTTTAACTAATTTGAAGTTTCAATGGTATATGATCAGATTTTTGTTTAATTCAGCACTACTCCTGTTCTTTCTAATGAAAGCAAGGTCACAGTGTATGTCAAAGGTGGAAGAGTATAAACGTCAAAGAAACTTTGAGAACAATTCTGATTTTTAGATTCTCAGGGATTGTTGTCTTGCACAAGCAGCTACATATTTGCATAATTAATTATGTACAGCACATACACAATGAACTACACCCCTGTAAGAGCTACTATAGCCAATAGACGTGCACTGTCAACATGCATGTCAGTGGATTTTAAAAGCCGTGTTGCAGGATGCACCTGTGTATCGGAGATCAGACTTCAGACTATGTGCACAGAAGTCTCCTCATTAATTAAGGATAATAGTTTGTATCTTTTTGCTTGGAACTGTTTGAAGGCCTGCACATCCGGAAAGGCTTGTGAAATTGACGAGTGCCTACTCCGGGCGTGCAAGTTCAGGAGACAGTTTTACAAGATCCTTGCAGCAGCTATGTATGCTGGCCTTTCTGGTGTCAGGATATGTCTCCCAACTGTGTACGTTTATTCCAACTAAAAGCTGAATTCCATCTCAGGTACTAACAGACATGTCTCATCTCTAGAGAATTCATGATTAACTACCATTGCTATCTCTTTGAACATTTCTTTACATGGAGCAATACCTCTTGTGGGAATTAAAAACATATTAATGCATACGTTGTGTTCCTAGTTACTGCTACTGAGACAATGAATAGGAAAAGCTAACCTGCTTTAACCACGCAGTGTGTATATATTTTGTATATTCAGAAATCTTTGACAGACCTGTTTTTCTTTTTTTCTTTCTCTTCCTTGTCCTCTTTCTGCATTGGCAGAGCATCTTGGATTTGAATTAAAGGGTATGGAACAACCATTCATTGTTAATCAGAAGCCATTAAGAGTTGCCCACAGTCCTTAACATTACGGCTTTGATGGGATGATTAAAAAATCAGCTGTTCTGCTCTTTTTACTGGCACCCAGAAAGATATTTGGATCAAAAAAACCCAAATGTGAACCTATAAAAATACACATGTATTTGTAGCAGCACATTTTTCTTTGTCATGCTAAGAAGCACTATGTGCAAGGCATTACTGGAATACTAATTTGTTATATGTCTCCTCACTGCAAATCTTTTTTCTGTATTTAACTTGAAGAGCTGGGGTTTGTGTTAGTTTGAAAGGTGACCAGCAAATGTAGCTTGGTAATGGACAAATATTCCAGTAACAGAAAGTCTAGAATTTAGGCCACTGGGGAACAAGAAGGGCGTGATTCTGGAGTCGTTCTGCATGTAGCTCTCCCATTGAAATCAAGGAGAGTGTAGTGGGGGGTCAGAGTCATGCTTTTCTCACAAAATATGTGCTTGGTTTGAAAGAAATTGGTTTCAAGAGGTAAATCAATTCAAGTCAGCTGAATTATCCTGGAAGTGTAGTGAAGTCAATTGGGGAGTGTCTTTCCATTGACTTCATTGAGCATTGATGTAGCTCAAGGAATATAGGCTAACGTTTTCAAAAGCACCTTAGGCCCAGACCCTCAAAGGTATTAAAGGATCTGAGTCTTAGTGACTTACAAGCTTTTGAAAATTTTACCATTAGATAATTTTAGGAACAGGAAAACCCCATTTGGCCAAACACATGGCTCCTTTCTAGGTGATCATAATGCCGCTCTTTTGTCCTGCATTCCCCTTAACTCTCTCTCCAGCAGTACAGTGCAGGGGTCTCTTGAGTTCACGTTTTGTGCTGCAGTCATATTCCCTTGTACTGCGTCCCCCCTCATTTGTTTTCTGTGTGTGGCATAGTTCTGGCACAGTTCTCTGTTTACCCCTATTTTTTACATTGCCATTTGCTCAGTGTGTAAAACCATAAAGAGCCAAGGCCCACAGTCCTTATTCAGGGCCATACCATGTTTCTGTATTGAAGGAGCTGGCGTAAAAATGGATGGCATCATATTGCCTCAAGTTCTTACTCAGTCAAAACTCCCAGTGCAGTTTTGGTTGGTTAAGACAGCAGGATTTGGCCTGCTGACTATGCTGATGCCTCTTTGCAAACCTCTCTCACATTCCTCCAGGGGCCATATTGTTCTCACGGTTGCACCCATGTAACCACATTGGCTTCAGTGGGGTTATGCTTGGGTAACTGAGAGCAGAATTTGGTTTAAATTTCCAGTAAAAGCTACCTCCATTCTGTAAACACTTCCTTTATCGCTTCCTGCAGATCCCTGAGACCTGCTGTTGCCTTGTGTTGCATCCTTTCTAAGTGAATGTCTTCCTTTGAGCAATATGGTGTCCAGCTGTGCACACAGAGATCCACAGGGGATCTGATAAGTGCCCTGAACTGTTTTTCCCTCTGCTTATATATCTTTAGTCCAGATTCAGTGCAGCCAGAGAGATATGTTAGCTCAGTATAGCACAGAGCAGACCTACATGGTTAAGACACTTTAATTTCATTTGATGGGCTCACTGGGGCATGAGCTGCTCACCTCTGGCGTCCAGGGACTGAAGTCTTTTCTCAGCTATCCGGTGCCAATCACTAGACACTAGCGTAATGAGAGTGGGCTTTGTCTCCCAGGGACCCAAATCCTTTCTTCCCCAGGGTCTGGTCCTGGGTGCTCCCAACTCCCACTGGTTTGAATGGAAATGGTGGGACTGGGGATCTTGCAAAAGAGGGTCAGCACCCGTTTAGATCGGGCTCCCAGTGCAAAGGGGTTTGGTGGTTTCAGCACAGCCCCCAATGGATATTTGTCCACCTTTCCAAACTGCCACAACACTGAGCAGAATTCGGCACAGGTAGTAGCCTCTGCTCCAGAGTAGCCCAGAACCAGCCTGCCAAGACTGATTCACATCCTCCCAGCAGGCAGTTCTGTGCTACAGAAAGTGAGTTCATTTTGGAGAAGGAATTATAGAGAAATTGGTGCTGCTTTTACAAATACACTTTTAAATAACATTTAGAATTGAGGATTTTTGACATCCCTTTTTAGTTTACTTCTGTCTTGTTTTCCTTGTCCATTCCCAGTCTCATTATTAGGCAATAAACATTAATATGCTGGATCTTTAGCTGTCTTCTCTACTTCATCCATTCTTCACTTTCCATGTGTTTGCTGTAGTACCCATGGCTGGAACTGTGACTGTGTCTGCATTACTTGACATTAAATGATTTGTCCATAATGTCATTGTTTTAGAATGATGATGATGACTATTATTTATTAATTGTTATAGCATCACAGGTGTGCATGGCACTTTAGAGACAAACATTGACTGGCCCTACCACAAAGATCTTATAATATAAATTAAACATAAAATCATTGTATAGATATTTACATTATTTTCTTTCTGTCACTGTCCCAGTGAGTTTATGTAACATGAAGGGATTATGTTATCAGCCATCAATTTAATGAGACTTCGTGGAGCCAACCTAGATTATTTTCAACAGTCATGCATTGAATTGTGCTGCACAGTGAGTTTGGGATTTGATTCATGGGAAAAAGGGTTGCAGTATAGATGAAAGTTGTGGAGGAAAAACTAACTCATTTGGTAGTTTTTCCTCCCCCACCACTATCCCTCCTTTTTTCCATTAAATAAAGGCAGGGTTTGCATCTGAAAAAAATAACATTTTTGCAGCAAAAATTGTGAATAGTGAAAATTCTCTATGAAAGTATCATTTTACCTGGTTTCAAGGTAGAACCGGATCACTTTCCCCCTCCTTTCCCTGCCACTATGAACAAATATGTTCACCCAGCAGAAAAAATCCTGAACAGATTCATCCACAAGCAATAAAAATCACATCTAGCTGCTTTGGCAAATTTGTATTAAATCTCTCAAAACTCAGGCTCGGCCTTTGCACATGCAATACTCCACGACAGCGATCAAATGGAGAACAGATTGCTTGCTGTCTGTATGGAATTCATAATACCAACTGTGAAAAAGAGACTGTCAGAACTTTCTGAGCTGCTCCCAAATAGAGTTAACTCTACACTAAGATCCACAAAGGTATCTTGTTAAGCCATCCATAATTTTTTAGAGCTGACTAAAATCTAAATGAATTTGCTGTTTTTTTCAAAATTAAATGCTAAAAATTTGATTACGTCAACTAGAATTGGTTCACAAAATCCACTGAAGGGAGGTTTATATTGCATTTCTGAGATTGGGGCAGCCGGTCCTGACAGCTCAAAAGAGTAATGTTTCCTATTTGTGAGGTGAGCAATGCCTGAGGCCTGTAGAGCACTGCTCACCTCAGCGAAATAAAATCATGCTTCTTGTCTATTTTAGCTGTCCCTGTTGTTTTTGTGCTTGTACTTCCAGTTGTGACAGTACAGTAGCTCCTCCTTCACCATTAGTCACACTAGAGTTATAGACACTGACAATGAAAATCTCCCAATCTTTGGTCCCCTCCAGTCAGGTCATGGCCCCGCTTGTATTTCTCAAGTTTGATGACCTCCCAAGATGGAATGTACATTTGCATTAATGATTCCAACAACAACATGATTGAACTGGAGAACTTGGACTGTTTGACTGAGTGAGAGGGGCTATACTGATGAAATCCAGGCGTGGAAAGGTGCAGCTCTCCCTTTCCATGTTTCCACCAGTACAGAATATGCACAGCGTTCCCCACCAGGCAAAAATACAGGGAAGGGGAAAGCAAAAAAGCTGAGCTAAACATCCCAATCCAAATGTGAGTTCTTCCCAAAAGAGGACATATGATGATTTGACGTAATGGGGAGGCCAGAGAACATCAGATCAGACCGCATGCTCCAACAACAAATCATCAGTATGAGTCTGCATCACAAGTGAAACAAATCACCTCTGTGCAAAGGGTCAGCACAGGACCTCAGCACCATTTAGGTCCCACCGTAACCCTTTAGGGCTAGTGAAGAAGGTTTGGGCTGGCCGTCTGCATAGGGGTAAATTTTATCCCAGTTGAGGAGGAACTTGATGAATTGCTCCTCAGAGGACACACTACCCTAACCCAGTATTGGCCAAGGAATGCACATGGAGGCACCAAAGCTTGGGAGATTCTTGATGTCATCCTCTCTAATGAATGTTGAAGGAAGATGCCTGTAGTGGTGGAACTAAGATGCAGAAAGGACAGAATAGGTAAGAAATTCTCTATTCTTGTCACCTGTAATAACGACTATGCTAAAAGTCTCCTCTCTGGCCTGAAGTGTGAATAGCTGTGTATATTGCATTCATTCCCTACCCAGAACCCGTGTTCAGTTCAGCAGAAGCTTAACATGCAGGACATGTGCAGCCTGTGTCATAGAGGTTTACAGTGCAGAGTGGAGTGAATGGAGATTCCCCCCCTTTTTGGATCACTGCTTTAGAACGAATGTTCACAGTGAACAAAGTGAAATATTTATGATTTATTTTTACACGTTGGTAAAAAGAAACAAAACCAGGTGGATTTTGACACTCTCTGGCTTCTCAAATAACTACTGCTGTTTTTCTCCTGTTTGGACCCTCAGAAAGAGAATAATCTTTTCTATATTAGGTACTTCCAAAAGTGGTGGGCTAAGACAGGCTCAAATCCCAAATTATTTTCTCTTAGCCTTTTCTTAAATACTTTTTATCCTACTACCAGGAGATGACTCTAGCATTCCTAGCACCTGATGCCATTCTTACTTTCCTTCTGGTTTTACCTCCTATAGCTTTGCAGTTGCTGGGGATACCAGATATAGTGTAGTGAGGGCACTTAGTGTCTCCTGGTGGAACAATCCACCCTAACAACTTCAGCTGGGTTTTTCTTGCCTAATTTCTATAAGAAAATGTTCTAGAGAATGCTAATTAAGGGACAAACCCCAACAACCCGGAATGCTGTATAAATAATACATGCTATTGGGGCATATTGACTTATTCATGGTACAAATCTTTTTTTGGTTCTTCCTCCCATCGGGTTCACAAGATGATATAGTGGGCCAAATTTTTCTCTCAGTTATGCAGTTGGAAATCCAGTTACTCCATTGATTTCAGTGGATCTGCACCCATGTAACTGAGGGCAGAGCTTGGCCTACTGTATTCATACAAGAAGAATAAATGCCCCTAGCCATGTGATTGGTTGAGGATATTTGGGTTGAACTAAGTTGAGGCAATCTGAATCTTAGCTTTTCCCCTGACTCCATCCTGAACAGTTTTACTGACCTGATCAGTTTGGATAAATTACTTCTCTCCAAGAGTGTGCTGTTAATCTGTTGCAAGTGACTGATTTCATTGGCGCTGAAAAGTCTTCCATTACAAATAACTATGGATCTCTCCTGCTCGTTACAGCCATATCTTAATAGAAACACTAGATCACTGATGAAGTTCAGTTTAATTTCTCAAGTGTATGTGAGTTGTGCAGTGTGGTTGAGACCATGCAGTGTCCCATGATACAACTCATTCCTGGACCACAATTGCCAAGAGGATTAACTGAGATGAATCTGTGTTACTGTTTGGGTTGAAAAATTAATTAGATTACTTCTCAGGATTTCATTAAAAAAATCCACTGCTGTTATTGGTTACTGGATTTTCAATACTCTGTCCCCTCCCTGTCTTCCAATAGCCAAACCACCTCTCCTCCATGCCCACCCAACCTTTGATTATTTAAAAGTTTTTCCTTTCAGCATCTGTGTGCTTTTGTGCATCAGAAGTTGTGGTTATGGAATAACTCTAGGACCTATAGCAAGCAGTTGCTGCAAGAAAAAAAGCAGTCCTGAGTCCAGCAGAGAGAGATATGCTGGACCTTGTGATGGGGCCATCGAAGGATCAGTGTATATATGTGTGAGCATGGGTGTGACAATCGGAGTCCAGACACCCCAAAGGAAGAACAGAGGTTCTGAACCCCAAAGAATAAGCAATTGAATCAACTGGTTGTATCTGATATTACTGTGTATAAAAATGTGTTGTGTCAGGTCTTTTATGAAAGCTTGTAATGTTCTGGCAATATTCTGTAATATTTTTATTCCCACCAGGTCTCTGTTGTGTGTGGAGTGTGTGGCAAAGTGAACTGATAGCTGGGCGCTGGTTTCACTCCATTGGGGGTGACGAACTAGAGGGGAAAAATACAAGTGTTGGGTAGTTAAGAACTTGGGGAAACAGATTTGGGGGGACTTGGCACTGAAGGGCTGTTGAGGTCACCGTGTCAGGGGTTACTAGACTGGTGGAAGCCAGGGTGAAAAAGTACACTCATAGGCTGGCTACTGGTGTCAGAGCTCTGAGCCATGGCAGCCTAGCATTAGGCCCCCCAAGTTACAGGGCAGGTAGTGACAGAACCCCTTACTGGTCTGGGTGGTGCCCAAAAGAGTTGGCAGGATTTGAACCTGTGTGGGGAATCTCCCAGTAGCCAGCCTACAAGCATAAGGGTGACCTCAGCATCCCCTTCTGGTCCCAAGTCCCCCCAAATCCATCTCAGGTTACCCAGAAAACAAACATAAAGGCACAATCTCAGGCTCTACATGTCTGTAATAGCTAATTTCCCTTTTATAATACAAGTTACCTATTCCCACTGAACAGTTTCCCAGCATGCTCTCTGACCAAGACATGCACTTCACTTAGATGCTGGTCCTCAGTTTTTGGGTGTCCTTCACTTCAAAACCCCTCTCCCTTAAGGGATTGCAGTTTTTTTGTCTTTCTCTCAGACTATGGTGATTCATGGAGGGGAAATTCTTCCTCTCTTAGGTTGGGTCTACATTAAAAAATTAAGTCGACCCAGCCATGTCACTCAAAGGTGTGAAAAATCCACACCCCGAGGTACGTACTTAAGCTGACCTAGCCCCCAGTGTAGACAGCGGTAGGTCAATGCAAGAATTCTTCCTTCGACCTAGCTACCACATCTCAGGGACGTGGGTTAGCTACAGTGACCAGAGAACCTCTCCCATCATTGCTAGGGTGACCAGATAGCAAGTGTGAAAAATCAGGATGGGGGTGGGGGGTAATAGGCACCTATATAAGAGAAATCCCCGAATATCGGGACTGTCCCTATAAAATCGGGACATCTGGTCATCCTTGTCATTGCAGGGGGTAGTTACACTGAAGCAGTACAGCTGTCCCACTGTAGTGGTTTAAGTGTAGACTTAGCCTCAGTTTTCCAAGACTGGGATTTGTTTGTTTTTTTATTTCAAGTTGTTTCAGTGTTTTCCCATTCATGCTAATGGTCCACCATTGTCTCTTCCTGGCTGGACAATGGACGGGTACTTGAAGTAAGTTCTGTGTAAACAACTGGTTTAAGAGGAGCCCATCTCTGTTGTGAGGTGTGCTTGAAATTGTAGTTCTGGAAATGAGCATAGTAGTCTAGATTCATAATTACATACATTTCTAATCCCAGTCTGTCTATGTATCTCCTAAGGACCATCAAGTTAGAACATCACAAGCTTTCATAACGACCTGACTTGACATATTTGTATACACAATAACATTGTATACAACCAGTTGGTTCAGTTGCTTATTCTTTGGGGTTCAGACCCTCCGTTTTCCCCTTGGAGTGTCTGGACCCTGATTGTCTCAGTGGGTATGGTCAGGGTCCTGTTTATTGGATTAGCAAGGCACCTGGGGAATCTGCTGGAAAGGAAAGAGAAGAGTTGTGGGACTATTGGAGATCATGGACTAGAGGTCACAGAGCTGTTATAGGGGAGGAGAGGGGCCAATGATAAGTTTGCTGGGGTTCAGAAGGGAGGGATTACTGGGCAGAAGGAGGAAGCCATGAGAAGAGGAGGAGAGAATGGTAGGAGATCTCGATGTGTTTGGGGAGGTTTGGGATAATCATCCAAGCCTTTGGGTGCTTATCAGAACTGGACCATGGAACACTTTGAGATCTGCTGATGACTAGTCTACATGGGTTGGATTCTGCTGCTATTTGTGTGTTCAGAACACATTATTTTCACTGGAGTACGTTTTTAATTAGTATATTTTTCTAACCTTTGCAGAAGCTGAAGAGCTCTATCAGAAGAGAGTTTTAACCATCACTGGGATCTGCGTTGCATTGCTTGTGGTTGGAATAGTATGTGTGGTCGCTTACTGTAAAACCAAGTGAGTACCGGCAAACAAGTCAAATCTAACAGCAATATTCAAGCTTTGGGTTCACACTTCTAGCTATGGCACTTACTGACATAAGATAATACTCAAAGGAGATGCTGTACTGTGCTTCTCACTTACAGCAGAGAAAATGCAAGGTCTAATAGGGCAGGGGAGTGGAAGTCAAAACTCTCTCTATGCCTGACCCTGTTTAGAGCTCGTAGGGGTACCAGATTGTGCGGGTTATTCTGCATTTCAGCTGAATCAACTCCATTTTGCTAAGCCAGGCAATGTCCTGTGGATGAGAAAACAAGACTCCCTGTAGCAATGGGAAAAATCCATTAGGCTGGGACCTAGGTGACCATGACTTCTGGTCTCATCTCTCAGAGTAGCAGCCGTGTTAGTCTGTATCCGCAAAAAGAACAGGAGTACTTGTGGCACCTTAGAGACTAACAAATTTATTTGAGCATAAGCTTTCGTGGGCTCCAGCCCACTTCATCGGATGCATGGAATGGAACACACAGAAGATATTTATACATACAGAGAACATGAAAGGGTGAAAGTAGCCATACCAACTGTAAGAGGCCAATCAATTGAGATGAGCTATCATCAGCAGGAGAAAAAAAACCTTTGAAGTGATAATCGAGATGACCCATAGAAGGTGTGAGGATACTTAACATGGGGAAATAGATTCAATTAGTGCAATGACCCAACCATTCCCAGTCTCTGTTTAAACCTAAGTTAATTGTATCTAATTTGCATATTAATTCAAGTTCAGCAGTCTCTCTTTGGAGTCTGTTTTTGAAGTTTTTTGTTGCAAAATTGCCACCTTCAAGTCTGTCACTGAGTGGTTAGAGAGGTTGAAGTGTTCTCCCACTGGTTTTTGAATGTTATGATTCCTGATGTCAGATTTGTGTCCATTTATTCTTTTGTGTAGAGATTGTCCGGTTTGGCCAATGTATATGGCAGAGGGGCATTTCTGGCACATGATGGCATATATCACGTTGGTAGATGTGCAGGTGAACGAGCCCCTGATGGTGTGGCTGATGTGATTAGGTCCTATGATGGTGTCACTTGAATAGGTATGTGGACAGAGTTGGCATCGGGCTTTGTTGCAAGGATAGGTTCCTGGGTTAGTGTTTATGTTGTATGGTGTGCGGTTGCTGGTGAGTATTTGCTTCAGGTTGGGAGGCTGTCTGTAAGCAAGGACTGGCCTGTCTCCCAAGATCTGTGAGAGTGAGGGATCATCTTTCAGGATAGGTTGTAGATCTTTGATGATGCGCTGGAGAGGTTTTAGTTGGGGGCTGAAGGTGACGGCTAGTGGCGTTCTGTTATTTTCTTTGTTGGGCCTGTCCTGTAGTAGGTGACTTCTGGGTACTCTTCTGGCTCTGTCAATCTGTTTTTTCACTTCAGCAGGTGGGTATTGTAGTTTTAAGAATGCTTGATAGAGATCTTGTAGGTGTTTATCTCTGTCTGAGGGATTGGAGCAAATAGGTTGTATCTTAGAGCTTGGCTGTAGACAATGGATCGTGTGGTGTGTCCTGAATGGAAGCTGGAGGCATGTAGGTAAGTATAGCGGTCAGTAGGTTTCCGGTATAGGGTGGTGTTTATGTGACCATCGCTTATTAGCACAGTAGTGTCTAGGAAATGGACTGCTTGTGTGGATTGGTCTAGGCTGAGGTTGATGGTGGGATGGAAATTTTTAAAATCATGGTGGAATTCCTCGAGGGCTTCTTTTCCATGGGTCCAGATGATGAAGATGTCATCAATGTAGCGCAAGTAGAGTAGGGGCATTAGGGGACGAGAGCTAAGGAAGCGTTGTTCTAAGTCATCCATAAAAATATTGGCATACTGTGGGGCCATGCAGGTACCCATAGCAGTGCCACTGACTTGAAGGTATATATTGTCCCCAAATGTGAAATAGTTGTGGGTGAGGACAAAGTCACAAAGTTCAGCCACCAGGTTTGCCATGATATTATCGGGGATACTATCCCTGTGGCTTGTAGTCCATCTTTGTGTGGAATGTTGGTGTAGAGGGCTTCTACATCCATAGTGGCCAGGATGGTGTTTTCTGGAAGATCACCAATGGATTGTAGTTTCCTCAGGAAGTCAGTGGTGTCTCGAAGATAGCTGGGAGTGCTGGTAGCGTGGGGCCTGAGGAGAGAGTCTACATAGCCAGACAATCCTGCTGTTAGGGTGCCAAAGCTTGAGATGATGGGGCATCCAGGATTTCCAGATTTATGGATCTTGGGTAGCAAATAGAATACACCTGGTCGGGGTTTTAGGCATGTGTCTGTACAGATCTGTTCCTGTGCTTTTTCAGGGAGTTTCTTGAGCAGATGGTGTAGTTTCTTTTGGTAATCCTCAGTGGGATCAGAGGATAATGGCCTGTAGAATGTGGAGTTAGAGAGCTGCCTAGCAGCCTCTTGTTCATATTCCAACTTGACAGAGCCAGAAGAGTACCCAAAAGTCACCTACTACAGGACAGGCCCAACAAAGAAAATAACAGAACGCCACTAGCTGTCACCTTCAACCACCAACTGAAACCTCTCCAGCGCATCATCAAAGATCTACAACCTATCCTGAAAGATGATCCCTCACTCTCACAGATCTTGGGAGACAAGCCAGTCCTTGCTTACAGACAGCCTCCCAACCTGAAGCAAATACTCACCAGCAACCGCACACCATACAACATAAACACTAACCCAGGAACCTATCCTTGCAACAAAGCCCGATGCCAACTCTGTCCACATATCTATTCAAGTGACACCGTCATAGGACCTAATCACATCAGCCACACCATCAGGGGCTCGTTCACCTGCACATCTACCAACGTGATATATGCCATCATGTGCCAGAAATGCCCCTCTGCCACATACATTGGCCAAACCGGACAATCTCTACACAAAAGAATAAATGGACATAAATCTGACATCAGGAATCATAACATTCAAAAACCAGTGGGAGAACACTTCAACCTCTCTAACCACTCAGTGACAGACTTGAAGGTGGCAATTTTGCAACAAAAAACTTCAAAAACAGACTCCAAAGAGAGACTGCTGAACTTGAATTAATATGCAAATTAGATACAATTAACTTAGGTTTAAACAGAGACTGGGAATGGTTGGGTCATTACACTAATTGAATCTATTTCCCCATGTTAAGTATCCTCACACCTTCTATGGGTCATCTCGATTATCACTTCAAAGGTTTTTTTTCTCCTGCTGATGATAGCTCATCTCAATTGATTGGCCTCTTACAGTTGGTATGGCTACTTCCACCCTTTCATGTTCTCTGTATGTATAAATATCTTCTTTCCGTGTGTTCCATTCTATGCATCCGATGAAGTGGGCTGGAGCCCACGAAAGCTTATGCTCAAATAAATTTGTTAGTTTCTAATGTGCCACAAGTACTCTTGGTCTCATCTCTGCTGACGCTTGGTTATATTTCAGTGGATTTCATAATAATTACTGTTGAGCAAGGCTTCATAAGCTTTCCTAGAAGACAATCAAATGCAATTCCCTCCATTTTACAAATAAGTTAACTGAGAGGTTGCACGAGATCATTGTAGGCAAAACTGGGCATAGAACACAGGTCTCTAATATGCAAACCCAAGTCTCATTCAAAACCACACCGCCTTGCCTAATTAATATGCCAGATCTATGTGCCTGACTGGCCTTCTCTAACCAAACACTGCTCTAACCACTAGCCACACTCCTCTCCCAGAGCCGGCAATAGAACCCAGCATTCCTGATTCCCAGCATTCTGCTGCTGTCTAGAAAATGGCTGTACAACCTGTTAGCAAAGTGTGTGCACCTCGGTCCCCCTTCAGTTGCTGCTCCTCACAGAAGATAACAGTCGCTCCTTTAGCTCAGGTGTAGAGGTCTGAAGGTCCAGGGATCAGACCTCATTGACAGCCCACATAGTGAGTTCTCGTGATTGCACATAGCTGAAAGTTGAAGCTAGAGGCTGGAAGCTGAACCTAGACAAATTCAGACTGGAAGTGAGGTGTAAAATGTTACCCGTGAGGATAATCAACCATTGGAATAATTGACCAAGGGTCATGGGGGATTCTCCATCACTGTCAATTTTTCAATCCAGATTGGATGTTTTTATAAAAGATCTGCTCTAGGAATTATTTTGGGGAAGTTCTCTGACCTGTGTTATATAGACAGTTGGACTAAGATGACTGCCATGGTCCATTCTGGAATCTACGAAACTGTGAATTTTCTTTTTCAAAAGTATTAGTTTATTTAATTCACAGAGGGAGGAAACATCTTTAAAAGTGAGTTTCACCATTATAACCTGTCCATTATGGTGCGACATGCAACAAAACCCAGGTGTTCCACTTTGCGACCATTTGTCACACATTGGCTTGTATCACACAGCGGTAGGCTTGAAGGCGGAGAGTTATCACTTTGACTCTGATTTGCTGTGAGGCCGCTATAGGGAACTCATGTAACTTCTCCGTACCTTAGTTTTCGCCGTCTGAAAATGGGGATAATAATACCTCTCTGCGTTGCAGGAGGTATGTGAGCCTTAATCAGTTTGAGAGTCTCAGTGAAAAGGACAAAACAATCTTATTATTAATACAGATATTCCCTTGCTTACTGAAGGTTTCAAACACACGTCTCTCATTTGCCCAGGTAGAAATAATGGAACAAACCCTGAAGTCCTAAGTCAGTTTTCACGCATCTACACTGTGGAAAAAATCCTACCCCACTGAGCGTGCACGATGTCCCTAAGAGGGTGAGAAGGAAATGAGAACATGTCCCTGCTGATCTGCTGCAATGGCTGAGTTAGCTGGGCCTGGGCAGTGTGGGAATCAGCTGTGCCCTGACACACATCCTGATGATCTTCCTGGGTTGGTGCATCCCAATACCATACCTTACTGTGGGCTGTGCCTTAAAGGCATATGTGGCTCTAGCCCTCTGTAAAGTCTTCAGAAGTTAACTCAGGGGTGTTATACTTAGAATTTTGACCATGTTTCTCTCAGCTGTGGCATTGGCCCAGGATATGCAGTGGAGACAAGCTAAATGGATGCTAGAAGGTGGAGGTTTTGTTCCGAAACCATGCTGCAAGGGTTAACCCAGGCAAGCAGACATTTGCCTTCTGTAGACCAGCAGCTGGTCACTGTACATCCAGAATCGCCTTGCTGTGAGCAGCCACCAGGCCACACTTTACCTTACTGACTCATCAGACACTTGCGCAATGTTCGTTCTTCTAGACCTTGTCTACAGGCAAAAATAGGAGCCATAGATCACCAGCACTGGAGCTCCAGGGGTGAGAGATAGAGTGTAGACAGGACACAGTAAGTTCCTGAGCTGCCCTGTCTTTATCTCAGTTTCTACCATGCTGCCATTGGTGGAACTGCATCAGAAGGCACCCAGAGTGAATTCCAGGTCCTGCTTTTGCCAGCATAGACGCAGCCTGCTCACCTGGAGAGACAGCGCTCAGTCCATATCTAAGCATGGGCTTCTCACGTTGGCCTTGTCTGCAATGACAACATTGCCCTCCATTAGTGGGAGCAATGGGAGGAGCATCAGCAAAGGCAGACCACGTGCATTTTTGCCATCATGTCATCTAGTAAGCCTAGATGATATGATGGATTAAAACTTCAGTGGCTTTCAGTGCCCGTGTCTATAGTATAATATATATAGTATAGTGTTTCCACCATTGCTTCCACTAGAGGAGCTGTGCAGCGCAGACAGCCCTTGAGTGCTTAGATTTGTAATTGGGACCAAGCTGCAAAGTTTGATCGGAGACACAGTGTGCTGAAAGTGTCTCCGAGACATGAATTCGAAGCATGGCCTTGTCCTCCTTATTGTCTGTCTCCCCTACAGGGCTTTGGGTGTGAAGAGTCCAAGGAGATATTAGAATTCTAAGTAAACTCTATGAATCCATTTCTCCTTTGTGCATTTTTAGAAAACAACGAAAACAAATGCATAACCATTTACGGCAAAATATGTGTCCCGCCCATCCAAACCGGAGCCTTGCCAATGGCCCCAGTCACCCCCAGCTGGATCCAGAGGAAATTCAGATGGTTGATGTAAGTGGCTTTTGTATAAGGCAGTGCAGAAGTGTATTGAATGCCATTTTTCAGCCAGTGATTTCGTTTAGGTGTAACATTAAGAATTTGACGTTAAAAGCTGAAATTGAATGGAAATTCGTTTTTTTTTTCAGTGGAAAACCATTTGGGTTGGGGTCAGGACAGAAATGTATGAATGAATGAACTAATCATATTTAATTCTCTTCCACTCTGTGAAATGCTCCTGGTATTTCCTGTTCATTGATGATATCCCAGAATGCATCATTCTGGACCACTACAAATACCATGGACTACATGGCTGGTGGGGGTGAGGCTGTTAGATGTGCATGACACTTTATGTCGGGCCTTATTCTGCCACTGTTGCTTCTAATCAGTAGCACTTTGCACAAGGTAATAAGTCCCATTGGGGTTCTCAGATGCCACACTGATGGGCATAATTTAAGACCATAGGCTCTGATCCAGCAAAGCACTGAAGCACATGCTCAGTTTAATGCATGTGGGTAGTTCCATTAAATTCAATGGGACTGTGAATGTGATTATATTGATTTGGGGCATTTGAAAAAAAAGGAAAGCGGGAGGAAATCAGATCCATGATGAGTAAAGACACAGGACGGGATTCTTTCCTGTGCCAGCGCTCCAGCATTTCCTAACTTTTGAGTACTCAGCTTTGCAACCTTTACATTGTATTAACATTTTTTTATATGTGATCATTTATATGTTGTCCCGTGTATGATACATAATGGGCCAATTCTTGCTGGCTCCTGGAGACAGGTATAATGGGTCCCTTGTCAGCTGCACATGTGCCAAGCACAGACAGAGAAGTCGGGAGCTAGGTAGATAGACAGGCATGAATACAGACAGAAAGAGAATCTGAAAAAAGCAGCAATAGTGCCTTTCCAGGCTGCGGCCCCACACAAAACCTTGCAAAATCTATGCTGTGAGTAGGAATAATCCATGCAAGAGCTGTGGTTGACCACTGCCAGATCAGGGACCACATTGGTATAAATATTCATAGAATCATAGAATATTAAGGTTGGAAGAGACCTCAGAAGGTCATCTAGTCCAACCCCCTGCTCAAAGCAGGACCAACACCAACTAAATCATCCCAGCCAAGGCTTTGTCAAGCCAGGCCTTAAAAACCTCTAAGGATGGAGATTCCACCACTTCCCTAGGTAACCCATTCCAGTGCTTCACCATCCTCCTAATGAAATAGTGTTTCCTAATATCCATCCTGGACCTCCCCCATTGCAACTTGAGACCATTGCTTCTTGTTCTATCATCTACCACCACTGAGAACAGCCTAGCTCCATCCTCTTTGGAACCCCCCTTCAGGTAGTTGAAGGCTGCTATCAAATCCCCCCTCACTCTTCTCTTCTGCAGCCTAAATAACCCCAGTTCCCTCAGCCTCTCCTTGTAAGTCATGTGCCCCAGCCCCCTAATAATTTTCGTTGCCCTCCACTGGACTCTCCAATTTATCCACATCCCTTCTGTAGTGGGGGGACCAAAACTGGACACAATACTCCAGGTGTGGCCTCACCAGTGCCGAATAGAGGGGAATAATCACTTCCCTCGATCTACTGGCAATGCTCCTACTAATACAGCCCAATATGCCGTTGACCTTCTTGGCAACAAGGGCACACTGCTGATTCATATCCAGCTTCTCGTCCACTGTAACCCCTAGTCCTTTTCTGCAGAAGAAGCTTTGCAAAACTAAGCTTTGCTTAGTCTACAGACTAAGCGCCATGTCTCCAAGACCCTCAACGTTCATCAATGCCCTTTCATAGTTCCCATATAGCCTCTCCTTGATATATTGAAGAGCCCACAACAGAGCCACAGAAAAGCCACTACTTTTTAACCTTCTGGGCAGCTGCTGTTCTTCTCAGCTCTTTAAACTGGACACAGATACATGCGATCATGTGCTTGTTACATGGTTTGATATATAGACTCGTAGACATTAAGGTCAGAAGGGACCATCATGATCAGGGGTTCTCAACCTTTTTCTTTCTGAGGCCCACCCCAACATGCTATAAAAAGTCCACGGCCCACCTGTGCCACAACAATTGTTTTTATGCATATAAAAGCCAGAATGGTGTTAAGGGGTAGCAAGCAGGGCAATTGCCCGGGACCCCACACCACAGGGGGCATGCAGAGCTAAGTTGCTCAGGCTTCTGCTTCAACCCCGGGTGGCAGGGCTCAGGGCCCTGGACTTCAGCCCCATGCGGTGGGGCTTTGGCTTTCTGCCGTGGGTCCCAGCAAGTCTAATGCTGGCCCTGCCTGGCAAACCCCCTGAAACCTGCTCGTGGCCCCCCAAGGGGCCCTGGATCCCTGGTTGAGAACCACTTATCATGATAATCTAGTCTGACCTCCTGCATATCACAGGCCACAGAACCTTGCCCACCCACTCCTGTGATAGACCTCTAACCTCAGGCTGAGTTACTGAAGTCCTCAAATTAAAAGTTACCGAGAATCTACCATCTTCACTAGTTTAAACCTGCAAGTGACCCATGCCCCAGGCTGCAGAGGAAGGCGAAACTCCCCCTCCCCCCAGTCAATGAATGAGCAGTTGCCTGATGTTTGGGACTCTCTTTATTACAGTATATTTCTAAAAACGTTTCTGCCACTGACCATGTGATACGGAGGGAAACAGAGACGACGTTTTCAGGAAGTCATTCCTGCTCCCCATCTCACCATTGCTCCACAGCCACTCCAACTTCAAGCCAGAGGTGAGTGTGCCATTTCCCCCCCGCACACACACACACATCCATCCTGTCCCTGCAAGAAGATCTGAGGAGTGTAGCAAGAAAAACATTTCTTAAGTCAGAGCAAATACCAAATGTTTTTCTTTTCACCTGCTTGTTCACTGTTCATGAGTGTTTGCAATATTCTGTCACTTTGAGTGACACAGAGAAAATAGATACATGAGAGAAAAACACTGAAGATTATTCTGCATGTAGTTTGATTTTGTGATAGTTTTGAAGAAAATTCTTTTTAGCTGTGGGGTTTGGAACATATATAACTAAAATTTTCAAAAGTACCTAAGGAAAAAATTTTCAGACGCTCCTAAGTTCCATTTACAAAAAGGATGTAGGGCCAGATTTTTAAAGGTATTTAGGTGGCTAAAGATGCAAAATGGGCTTTTCAAAAGCACATTAGGTGCTCTCCTAGCTGCATCATTATGCACCTAAATACCTGTGAAAGTCTGGCCATTAGGTGAATAGTCACTTTTGAAGATGGGACATAGGCTCCTAATATACTTAGTCACTTTTGAAAACCTTACCCTTTATCTCATTTGCATACTGCTATCCTCTTTCCTAAAATACTTTAGGAGGTACTAGAGCTGCAAAATTTGGATTCAGATCCAAGTTTTGATTAACCCAAATTTCAGAGGTATTCAGGGGGCATTTACAAAATACAGATCTGAATCCAGATTCAGATCTGAGGAGCCCTGCAATGTCAAGGGTGTTTGGATTCTGGGGTTTGGTTTGGGGATCTCTCTTGTGGTTTCCATTTTTAAATGTCAGAATTCTGACCTATGATCTCAAAACTATGAACTATGGCCTTCTGGTGACCTTGTCATGGCAAATATGCCCTTTCTCCACTAGCCGCAAATGTGCTTTGTATGTCTGCACATGGATAGTTGCTCCTGAAGATGACTGCTGTGAAGCATTTAGAGCTAAACTTTGAACATGGAAAACTATGATGTACCTTCACAATCTACACAAACAGGAAGTTGTACACAGAACAGTTAAATGTATCTGCACATACATTAATCCATGAAGCACACACAGATGTGTATTTTGCACAGGCAGTTGCCTGCATATTTTATATATACTAATGCATATTTTACTAGTGTTTAGAAATATTCTCCTATACATACCCACAATGTATAAGAAGAGAGGGCTATAAATATTGTTAAACATTTAGGTCTAGACTTTCAAAATTGGGGTCCGATTTAGCAGGTACAATTTTGCATCAACAAAAAATTTGTTCATGCAACTTGTTGCAGGCAAAAAAACGTTGGTGCAGATTCTTATGTTTGCACTTTGCACCTACGGATATGTAGGTCATTCTGAGGCTGGCTTGAAAATCTGAGTCTCAGTATCTTGTGCAATGTTAGGTCATCAGTGAAATAACAATAGTTCTTGTTAATAGGACAGGGTCAAGGTGGAAGAAACAGCGCATCCATGAAGCAGAGCCTTTCACCTTTTTGAAGGGCATTTCCAATTATAAATTAATGTTTTCCATTTTTATAGTGTCCAGGAAAACCCTGGGTTGCATCTTCAAATGCCCTGGAGAAGGGCTAAGAGTAGATGGACCCTTTCTCTTTGTGGATGCTCTGTTTCTTCCCCTTTGATGGTTCCAGTGAATACTGTGCTTATTCCAGTAACTGAAGTCAGTTCTTTGAAGGTGCACTCAACATTAAAACATGATTGTAAAATGACACTGTGAGGTCCATATTTATGTCCCATCAGTGAATTGCACCAGACGAGATGTGTTCATCTGCAAGGCAAAAGATGTCAGGTCTGATTCTGATCTCACTTACACCAGTTGTCCACCAGTGTTACTTTAGTGTTTGGTAGGTGTTGATGAATCCTTTGCATTCCAAGTGTTCGGAGAAAAAGGACCAGACGGCAAAATGTTGTTTTCTTTAGAAGACATTCTCTTACATAAGTTACTCTAGCAGTGTGGCTATTCTGTTATTCAGTCCTCAAAACTTGGTGATATTTTTCAGGTATTGTGCATTCATGAGTTGCACACACAAATCACACAATAGACGTGCAATCCTGAGTTGTGTGTGTAAAAGTATATGTGCATGCACAGCCCCAATTTACATGGTCTCATTAAGTGTTTTTCACTCACTTCACAATAGTTAGGCCTTCTGACGGGCAGGTACCGATTGGGTTTACAAAGTGCCTAACTCCCATCAAAAGTCAGTGGGAGTTAGGTGCCTAACTCACTTAGGCATTTGTAAATCCCACAAGGCACCAAAATACTGTCGTGAATTGGTGCTTGATATCTAGAACGCTGTCTTCCTGAATAAACTGCAGTGAGCAAATGTTCTTGAAGACACACCCAGAGCAGATCAGTTGAACGTGAAGCTGCCATTTCACTCCTCCTCTTTTCTAACCAGAACACCATTTGAACTTGTAAATGTTGTTGATGGTTTCAGCTGAGAGTAGGCCTGGGTTTAACCATAATTAACAAGTTCTTTGGATCAGGACTGTTTTCCTGCTCTGGCATCCCTGTGTACCCCACCTAATTCTCTACTGGCAAACTTCATTGACTCCAATTGCCTGATCTGCACATGCCATAAGGCAGTGAGGCATCTGTTTGTCCTCCTGTGTGCCTACAAGCAGTTGCACCCAAATTCATTGTGGACAAAACAAGTGAAGGCCAGGTTTTGAAAACTGGCCCCCCAGTTAAACACATTACTTTTAGAAAGAGAAGCAAAGTGGATCCAGAGTGTGGATTCTTTCAGAATGGCTCCGAGCCACAGACTGCCTGAAGGAACAGGTGTGGTGTAGCAGGGCATGGCAGAAGTTCTCCCTGACTGTTGTTGATCTGTGGTTTGCTCCACAGGCAGGAAAGCCACACGTGGAGCTTGGACCGGACGGAGAGCCTGACTTCTGATTCGCAGTCTGGTATGATGCTCTCTTCAGTGGGAACCAGTAAATGCAACAGCCCTGCCTGCGTCGAGGCCCGCACACGGCGAGGAGCTGCGTATTGCGTTGAGGACTCGAGAAGACCCACGATGCAATACAGGGATTCGGTGGATTCGCTGCGAGACTCGCCACACAGCGAGAGGTCAGCCCTCACTGCTTTGTGCCATCAGCTCTGGGGCTGATGACTCTGTTATGGGTTACTAGGGTTCGCTGGTGGAAGTGAAGGACAGTAGAGAGGGGCATCCAGACCAGATCCATGTTGGACATAAGATACTGCACCAGAGCAGTGCTCCACTTGGGCTGGTGTCCTGTCTTTGAGAATGGCCCATAGCAAAAGCTTCAGACACAGATGCAAAACCTCTCGCAATTGACAATTATGCAATAGCCTGCCCGTGGTGGAAATTTCTCCCTACCACCAAGCAGTTCATGTTGCTGTATGGTATGCCCTGAAGCATCAGAGCTTTTCTCTCTTATACATTTTAAGTGTAAATAATAGCAAAAGTTTGACGGCGTCAGGGTGACTTCTGGGGACAGGTTGGGGTGTAGATCTTCTCTCAGTCCATGGCTGAAGACTCCAAGCTTGCTGACCACCACTTATTCAGGAAGCACAGGGAATAGAATTCCTCTCCCAAAAGAGAAGCCCCTATCCTGTGAGCTACAGAAGCTGCTCCAATAGCTTAGTACAAAGAACCTGCAGCCGCGAGCAGCTCTGACACATTCCAGCCAGTAAAGAGCAGCGCTACATGTATGCATCAGCCCCTACTGGTCATGGCCTAGGGATGGAAAAGTAGCTGATGATCCAGGCAGGGAACTAATCTAAATGAAGATGAAGTAGAGGGGAGGGGTTGGATTCACGGAGGATTGGGTTGTTTTTAATGGTGAGAGGGGACTGCCTGGATTTGAAAGTCTTCACCCTGGCTGGCTCACTACTAGCTGGGCTTGTTACATCGGCTCTCAGCTGGGAAAGGTGATAGATTTCATTTTCCTTTTGGAGGGAGGGATTTTTTCCAGCCCGGCCCCCCAATGCTGCTGCATACGCCCAGGATAGGCACTGCATCAGGCTGTCATGGAGACCTCATGCAGGATCCCTCTCCAGCCCTGTCTTAGGGAGCACGCTGGGGCTGGGAGGAATGTGTCAGAGGTGGGAGGGAGTAGAGCTGTGGGGATTCTAGCCAGTGCTGCTGCCATAGGCAGCCAGGGAGGTCCTGCCTCCATTGCACACTCGCCCTTAGATCAGCCTGGAATAAGCCAGAGCCTCCTCTCCTGGGCTGCACCTGTGTGTGCTCCACCTCCAGAGAGCCCCAATTGCACGTTGAATATGGACAACATGGTGAAGGCTCGTGTGGGTCTCCCAAGGCTGGGGGGAGGATCAGGCTGTACCAAATACACCGTGTCCAGCGCAGCAGATAAGACACAGACAATGCAGGGGGGAAGGCCAGGGGAGCAGAGTACAGCAGTGCTGTATGCAAGTGCCACAAGCCTGGGGGCAAACAAGATGAATCGGACAAGCTGCGTGCAGGATTGATGGCCCCACTGGTGTTGTGGAACCAATGGGAGACAGTCAGGAAAGCTGGCCTATTGAGTCTGAAGGCCATGCTCTTCATAGGAGGAGAAAGCCAGACACATGCCTGTGCTAGGGGACAAGGGAGTCACCTTCTAGTGAAATCTAGATGGCAAGAGAAGAAAACGACAGCATGGGCACTCTGGGTCCCAATGAATGAGAAAGGAAATAACAGTGCCCGACAAGTCTCTGGCCCAGATCAAAGCAGAGAAAAAGCAAAGACCAGGCCCTTAGCCAAGAGATAGTGGAGACAGGAAAGGTACCGGATATGGTGTTAAGCATCCTGGTGGTTTGAAATACCAAGATGTCTGAGGTGGATGCAGCCAAACCAGGGGGCATCAATGGAGATTTAACATAAACTCCACTGAAGTGTGCAGTGAAACCTGTTCATAAAGGCCACCAAAGGGAAGCACTGTATTAGTGCTGGTTACAATAGGTGGCCACAGAAAGCAGCATGGTTAATATGGAGGAACACTCATGGGGCTAAGACTACCTGGCTGTTAAGACTGGGGAGGGTGGCTAGCTGGGGCCTCTCAGCATAGATCTCACTCACTGTGCCTCTTGTTTGGCAAGGTGGAGAATACAGTGAGAGGCACGGTCACTTGCATTTGCTATTAACCAACTAAGAGTCATAGCAAAGCTGAGCATAGGGGAGAGCCAGTGGGGAAAGGATCTCTCAGGGCTTAAGCTCCTAAGGAAGGGGAACATGGGAAGCTGGAATCATAGGGCATTTTACTGTGACACGTCTAATGGTAGGAAACCGAGGCAGTTAGTAAGAAGAAGCCCCACAGAGTGAGGTACCAAGGGAAAGATGGAAATAAGAAGGATGATGCTGGGTGTTGAGCGGTTCTTCCCACCACGCAGAGTGCACAGGTTCACAGACAGACTCCTGTGCTGAAAAAGTATGTCATTTATTTGCTGCTTCAGTGAGTGATCGGTCCATCAAACCAAGGCACAGCATAGGGTTAAATGCAAGTGACCCCCATATTTGGGTGTATTATATTTGGGTGCTCGCCTTAAATACACAGTTACAAAAGTTATTCATTCTATATTGTATAAACACCTTTCTGCCTCGCACTAAGATTAGTTTGCCAACTCGGTTGTTACCTGATTGGATTGCTGACCCAGTTGTTTATCTGATCCGATTGCTGGCTCAGCTTTTCAGCTGGCTGTTCTCTTTCCTTGCCAGACAAGCAGGCATCTTTTCACATACATCCTACATATTCCATCCTACAATGGGGGACCAAAGAGTAAAAAGCACAAATGCAAGTGTGTGATTTTAAAGGGAAATCCAGAACAAGAAAGCAAGCCAGTGACTAAAAGAAGAGCTTACAAAGGACTTGAAAATTGAACTTTGCAGAGGCAGGAAGTGAGGTGGGATCTTCTAGAAATCAAATAAGGGAGACGAGAGAGAGAGATTGAAATTCATAGATTTACAGAATCTAAGACAAGCAGGGACCATGATGATGATCTAGTCTGAGCTCCTATATAGCACAGGTCAGAGATTTCATTCCTGCTTCAAGCCCAGAAACCTGTGGCTGAAGCAGAGCAGATAGAACTTGATCTAGAGATCCCATGTGAGGGAGAATTTACCACATTCCTTAATAAGGGGGAGAGGGTGTGTTTGATGGATGTGAGAGAGGGAACGAGTCAATGGAAATAAGATTTCTACAAACATATCTAGGAAAAGAAGAAAGGGGAGGGAAGTAGAGGAGCTCTGTTAAGGGAGGAGGAAAACCCAATCCAGAAGAGTGCTGGGATGGTTATAGGACTGAGGGAAATCTGAGTCATTGTTCTAAGGCAGGGGTCGGCAACGTTTGGCACGCGGCTCACCAGGGTAAGCGCCCTGGCTGGCCGGGCCAGTTTATTTACCTGCTGACACGGCAGGTTCAGCCGATCGCGGCCCCCACTAGCTGCGGTTCACCGTCCCGGGCCAATGGGGGCGGTGGGAAGCCGCGGCCAGCACATCCCTCGCCTGCGCCACTTCTCGCCGCCCCCATTGGCCCAGGACAGCGAACCGCAGCGAGTGGGGGCCGCGATCGGCCGAACCTACCACGTCAGCAGGTAAATAAACTGGCCCGGCCCGCCAGGGTGCTTACCCTGGCGAGCCGTGTGCCAAACGTTGCCGACCCCTGTTCTAAGGCTTTATCTAGATTCAGTGCGTGGGTCTCTTTCTTTCTTCTCCGTCCCCTCTATTCATCCCAGGTGTCTGCACCTTTACAGAGGTAACTGACCCGATTCCATTGCCTATTGGCTTCTTTCCTGAAGCTCTGATCTCTGTCTCGGAGCTCTTGCCACAATCCCCACCTGCTGTATTTCAGCACGTCTCCCTCCCTTCGGCCCCATCGCTCTTTTCACAATCTCTAGGCTGACCTCGCTGCTGCTCTCAGCCTCCTAGTCCCTTCCACACATACACACGGCTTCTCTCCTTTCAGTTGATTCCATCAACCCTTTCATTTCTCACAACTCCTCTCTTGATTCCGGTGCCTCCCTCTCCTGATGCTCTGTCTGCCCTTTAATCCCTTCCCTCTGCATCTGCTGCTTCTGTGCCTGCAGCCACGCTGCTGAGTGCCCTTGGGCAATATCCTAGGCCTGCACTGAGCTCCTCCATGTCAGTTCTTTCTAGTGCTTCCAAAGCGTGGCATCTCTTCTCCTCCTCCTGCTCCCTCCGGACACCTCACCCTCCTCTGCCTGCTTCTCTGCCCAGCAGCTTGTCAGTATTTCCCAACCGCCCATAAGAACTCTCCCCTGCCTCTGACCCTTCCACCTCTAACTCCACCCTTTCCTTCTTCACACCACTCTAGGCTTCCCAGGCCTGACTGTGACTCTGCCTCCAAACCCTCCACCCCATTGCTTCCCATCTCTTGTCCTCCTCCCCTGCTCTTTATCTCTAGCTACTCCCTCTGTGACTCCTTTCCATCTGCCCACCTGCACCAACTGTCTCCCAGCCTGGAAATAAACTCCTTGGGATGGACTTGTCTCTCTACCTACCATCTTAGCTCCACCACCCTCCTCCACTGGCTTTCTGGGTTTTACCACACCTCCCTACCTGCCTGGGTTCTGACTTCTGCTCTCCCTCAGACCCTGAAGGCAGAGGATCTTGATCTCTCCTGCTAAGTATCATTAAGGAGCTGGTGAAGGAAATGGAACGTGTGGCGAGAGCCTTCCCTGATGTCCTCATGAGTTCTCAATCCACAGAGGAAACTGCAGAACCTATTAGAATTGGACAAAGGGCAAATGTGAAGCAAACCCAGTGACCGCACAGCTGGGTGTTCCATTGCAGATCCTAGCGAAGTCGAGGAGGTTCAGTATCCAAATGAAACCGCTGGGAAAAGGGAACCTAGCAACTACAGCTGAGGGGAAATTTTCAGACAACGTTCCTTTTTCACTGAAAAATGCAGATTCAGGTTGACCAAAAATGTTTTCAAATTCACGGAATTGTTTCAGTCCAACAAAAAAAATTCTGAAAAAATCAAAATGTTTCAAATTTTTGTGTGTGAATTTTACTTCAATTTGATTCAAGAAAGAAGTTTAAAAAGTTAAGAAATTCCTCAGAAACCAAACAAAACCTTTCATTTGACCCAAAGCTGGATTTTTTTTTTTTTTTTTTTTGTTTTTTTTTTCCCCCCCCCCCCCCCCATTTTTCGGGCTGGCCACTGACCTGAAAAATTGGTTATTTGCCCAGCTCTGCTAGCCACCAGCTACCATGGCACAGATCAACCAGGTGATCAGATCCCCCAGTAGAACTACAGATGCTGTGGTCCAAGGCAGCACAGCAGCTGACATTTACCTTGATTTCTCTAAAGCTGTTATTACAGCCCCCGCCCCCCAGCATGTAGAGAGGAATGCCAGCGTGAGGGCAAAGACTGGCTGGCAGGCTGTAGGCTCTACAAGCAAACACGACACCCTCAGAACAGGGAAAGCATCAACAGGAGCCAGGCTCCAGGTCTGTGCTACTAAACAGTCACTGTAATCCCTGTGGAATGAGTGGGGGCAGGACATGAGCTCCCCCTGAGTCAGGGCTAGATTCTGCCGCTAGGAAGCAGAGGTGCGGTGCACAGGGGCAGCCCAGAAGCAGGGACTCAGCGTGACTCAGCCTCTGTTTCTCCCGGGGGGGCTTTTTGGGAGCATACACCAGAGCAGTGGCTCCACCAACCTGCGGGAGAGCACAGTGTGCACTCCCCTTTGTGTTCAGCTAACAGGTGTGGTGGTGGGCATAGAGTGACAGGACCATGCCCCTCCACCCTGCCCACTTGTGGGCAGCTAGCACCCACGTGGGCACTTGCAGGGAGCGAGGTGGTCCCCAGTTGCTAGGTGAGGAGGGCATCACCTTTCATCCTCCCCAGCCCCATCCCAACAGGGGTTGGCCATCATCTGTGCAGCCAACCCCAAGCTTGGAGGGCTAATAAGCAGCAGAGGAGCTCTCCAAGCAGCACGAGTGTTGTGGCAGGCTGGAAGAGCCAGGCAGCTATAAATTAGATGAGATTTAGGATACTAAATGCAAGGTGAGGCACCGAGGGAGATCCCATAATCAACCCAGATAGAAACAGGAGGCTGCTGCTTAGAAAGCAGCCGTGCGGTCAGAGAGCCCTGCAGGTTAGAGCGGAGGTTATTGGAGATGAGCTCACGCTCTAATGCTCTTGCTAACAGAGCAAATGAAATCCTGAGTGCGTGTCTATAAATAGAGGGATCTCTCCTAAGCCAAAGGAGGTAATAAGGGTGTTTTATACAGCCGTGGTGTGAGTGTGCTGAGGATATTGTGTGCACTTTGGGACCCTGTGTTAGAGAAAAGCCATTGCAGAGCTAGAGGGAGGGCAGAGAAAGGCACTCGAGGGTTTCACAGAGGACGAGAGCCTGGGATGATGCTGGTGGAAGGGCAGATATCAGGAACGTTACACAAAACATATGTGTTAGTAAAGCAGGAAAGGGACTGCCCTGGCGCAGAGGGAGGGGGAGAGCCAGAGGACAGGTCTGGAACTAGGGGCCTAACCCAAATCCCATCAGTTTCAATGGAGAAGGTCCCAAAGTGGATCGTGTGACTATAAAGGTCTGGGTTGTGGCTGTGTAGGGAGCATAGCAGAGGTGACCTGTCCTGGTGGGAGCTCTCTGAGGCATTGCCTCCTAGAGCATAGGCAGGGGGCAGCTCTGCACCCTTTGAAACAGGGTGGCATCAGCATGGCTGGGCAGGGCCAGCCATGGTTGCTGGCACTAAGTGTGCCAGAGAGGCTGATTCTTCTGGCAGCACTAGACTGGCATAGTCCAGGGATATGGACTGTGATTGTCCCTGGGCAAGGGTACAGGTGTCAGGGAGGGCATGCTGCCCTTTCCTCTTCTCCTTGTGCACTCGTCCAGGAGAACGATCAGGCAATGGATGTAACTGCTGAATGAGGCAAATACGTGGGTGAAATGCTAGACATTGCCATTGTATGTCTCTAGGGATCTTTTCCAACACAGCCATCTAGGGCTTTCTCATCTAAGAGCAGGAGTACAGGAAAAACCCAGAGAGGAGAGAGAGGCTCCTGGTGGGGTCCCATCTCCTCTGTATCAATTTGTTACTTGTGAGATGGTGTCCCTCCTCTATGTGATGATTGGCTTATGTTCCAACCCCCCTGCTCCACTGTACCTCCAGTGAGCTCCATGGTGTCACACTGGTGAAGGGGCTGCAGGACAGACCCAGCATGCACCTCTTTTGTGCATATCATTTAAATGAGCTGTGTGAGCGTCAAAAAGCTACAAACCCATGCAACTCAGGAGAACTTACTGTCTTTGAGTTGTGCTATAAACAAGCAAACAAACACTGCTCTGTTCTGTGTCACCCAAATATACAGTCATCCCGGGCCATTTACGCTCCAGCTCTGTGTCACCAAAATGTAGTCATCCTAGGCTATTTATGTTCCAGCTCTGTTTCACCCAATTGTACCGTCATATTAGGGCCATTTACTTACCACTTTTCTATTCTATCTATAAAATGGCCCTTTCCATATAGCTCAAAGGCCAAGCACAAAATCTAATATAACCCCACAAATCAGCCACTGCTTGGAGGGAGATCAAAGAATAATCCCCTCCCACCCATCTCATCCTCTCCCAACCAGCTCCTCAAGCCACTGTTCTGAGGACCTTGCAATGCACCCAGGATGTTAACAAACGTTGGGCTTGATCCTCCAAGGTGCTGAGTACCCCCCATTGCATTGCGTTGCATTGTGTTGGTAACAGAGACACTCTTCTCTTTGGCTCTTGAGTGGTCCAGCCCTTCAGCATGGGGTTAGAAGCTGCAGTTTTGCTGGAAGTGGTATCTTTTGGAGGAGCCGTAAAAGTAACATTCTAATTGTTTCTGGTCCTAAAGTTCCCATGGCGCTTTTTGCAAGAGGAGGGTTTTGAGCTCCAGTGTCATGGGGAAATTTCACCTTTGTTAATTAAATTTACCTATCTAAATTCTCACTGTTGCTTCAACTGAACGTTATCCTTCACTTCCTAAACTGTTGTGCAGGGTGGCTGGCATTGCGAGATGGATGGTGAATCTTACCTCGGAAGTGGCTAGATTTCATTGGTGAATGTCATAACCCCTGTGTTAGCTTCACCCCAGTATAGACACTCAGAGCATCCAGTTTTCACATGCAGGTAACTTAAGCTGCTGCACAAGATGCTGGCATAAGACCATAGGGCTCACCGTACCAGATGGGACCAACAGTACAATGGGTCTATTCTCCTGTGAGCAACAGTGGCCAGCACCAGGTAGTACAGAGGAAGATGTAAACCCCCATTCTGAACAAATATGCACTCACATGCCCATTGGGCTAGTGGGCGACTTCAGATGTCCAAATGGAGGGCTTGTATGGCCTGTAATAGGGCAACCACTTTTGGAAATAGGCCTTACAGTCTGTAAAATGACTTGGGACTTGGTTCTTCTGGGTGAAATTTAAAGCATGAGGGCGCGGGTCTGTCAGTTACTGTGTGAGGGGCGTGTGTGCATCAGTTACTGTGTGTGGGCGTGGGTGCATCA